AAAAAAAGAAACATATAATAAACTATAAACTGCGTGCATGCGTAAAAGCGCGCGTATTTACGTGCATATTCATATATGCGTATGTTTACGTATACACGTGCGTGGGCGTCGCATACGTGCGTACTTTTCGAATACACACAAGGGGTAGTGTTTGTGTGCGAGTGTGTGTTTATGTATGTTGCACTGACCTGAGCGGGCCGGTGTCGCAGGTGTAGGGAGGGTCGCTGATGTGCATGGCATCTGGCTGCTCAAGGCGCGCTACGCGGTCGCTCGTCATATCTCGTGCGACCTCGTGCTCTATTACACCTGCAATCACACAAAGATGTTAAAAAAGTCACTTAGAAGCCTAGGAGTATGTATTACTGACTAAGAAAACTAATCATTTACCATTTTGCGTTTTAACCGGCGGAATATAATTGCTGATCACATATTCGTCTATCACACCATCCAGTTTGTTGTTTTGAAGATTATTCGTATAACAATTTCTACAATGCTCCAACCTAAAACAAACACAAATATTATTTTACAATTTAATTCCTTATTCAACAAAAGGTTTATGGCAGTTCTATTCAGACGATAAAACTTGCTACGCGTAAGATAACAATAAACAAATCAAGTGAGTTTTAAACTCGGAGTTTAGTCGTTCTACGTACAAGTTACCGCAATATAATTGTTCACCCGCTTTGAAACTGTTTTACGTATTTCATCGCATGAAGTAAACAAAATGAGTTGAATGTAGAGGACTATTAGTGCCTTTTGAGATTATGTAAGACAGCAGATGAGAATGTAGGTCAGGTCACCTTAGTGATTGCATAAACAAACTGAAATTTTAAGAAAAATAGAACAGACTTGAGGCATAAGAACTTTTGCATTAATAAAAAAGGTAATTAAAAACGTACACAAGTAATTTTTAGCTTGCTTCTTCAAGGTTGTAGTATTCTTAGTGCCTAAAAAGTTGAGTTGTTACACCAACAACTTGATCTTCAAGATTTACATAATATCTATTTAATTAGTACCATTTTTACTTCTAAGTTATCAAAATTACATCACGATTTGTTTTTAGCAAATGACATAGGTGTATAGCGAACATTTTCAACGAGGTGTGAGCGAGGCCGGCATGGCAGCAGCACGACGCCTCATGCTCTGATAACCTCACATAATGACACTCACATAGCGTAAGGGTACACTATGCAACGTATCATATGTACCAGCCGACCCTCCATAGATACTAGGGCAAGGGGCAGGAAGTAAGAAGCCAGAAAGAACAAGAGAATCACTGTAACATTGTATACAAGGTAAATATACGATACTGATTGTTGCTCGCGACTTTTTCCGCGTGATATTTTAAAACATATAGCCTATATTACTCACTGAAAACGTAGCTTTTTAAAGGTTAAATTTGCAATCGGGCTAGTACTTGTTGAGTTATTACAATACATACAAAAATAAAAAAAAATCCTATTTTATACATGAACATTTACATTTGACTAACCTAAAACTGCGCTATTTCTTACTTTAAACACAGTTAAAAGCTACAGTAATAGATATCAGTTACCATAAAAATTAAGACATGATAAAACCTATTTTAATGAATTTAATAAAATGTCTCATGCCGTCTACAGCAATAAGATCCAATATTAATATTACTGAGTACTAAAGCTGGAGTCTCGAGGGAAATCGCAACGATATTTGACTTTCAATTTAATCTGAAATGATGCAAGTCGGAGAATAAAACGTGCAAGCGAAGGAAACGCAAAATGTAAATACGGTTCTGAACGGAAGCGCGGAGGCCGCGTAAGTCGATACACTTCAAGTGTACTGTTTCTTTGTAAACAATGCCAAAGGGGCTTTAATTCAAGCGGAGTTTATGTCGACTACTAAGAAATTAGACAAAGCGGCGCAAAATTTCCTTCCATAGTTAACATCTATTCTACGAACATTGTAATTTTCCATACGTTTATTTCAGTGAATTGTGATAATAGTAAATTGGCTAAACCCCATTATTTCAGTATTACCGTTGACAATACCTACTAATGATGATAAAATTTCATTATGTAGTCGGATTCCTGTATAACATAATTTCTAACCTATTACAAACTCCTAACCTTGTCTTCTATGCTCTTTTGCATCATAAATTGCAAAATCATAAAGTACGGGTAAACTAGCTTTATTATTCTTTCTATATTCTACAACTTTGGGAAGACCAAGAAAATGTTACTTGGTTTTAACCCCCTCATAACCTATCCTTTATCCTACTGACATGGATTCGGCGGAATAGGTTTATTAACCTCAAACTTTATTGTTACGGCCTGTGAACCTTTATTGCTTTAACCCTATCCTATA